TCCTCGAGCCACACACAAGCCCTGAGGGCGTGTCTTTGTTGCCCCACAGGGTGGCTCTCACCATCATGGTCTTTGTCAACTATGGAGGAGGGCGATACTGGTACTTCAGACACTCGAGCTGGAACGGTAAGGTGCTTCCCCCAGGCAGCGTTGCTTACGTGGGCCCCCCAGAGCGCTGCGGGCGGGGGACGCCCTCGGCACCGCCCCCCGGGAGCTCCAGAGACGCGCCCCCTGGAAGGACCCCTAGGAGGACCTTTAGATTCTTCCACCAGCCGTCAGCTCTGGTCTCCCGTGTGCTCCGGCTCCGTGATGCTTCTCCGGGACCACCCGCAGGCACCGGAGGCCTCGGCTGCGGGGGCTCTGCAGGAGGAGTCAGGACTTCAGCTATAAATGAGCCTTGTCCTGCTCCAGGTCTGCCTTGTATGACAGCCGCGTGGGCGTCCCGCCCGGAGACTCTGGTCCTCCTGGGGGTGCCGCTGGGCGGGGGTTGGTCTGAGTGGCCATGAATCGGTTCGGTGGTCGGGTTAAGATGGGCTTTGAGTAGCGCTGCTTTGCGGGTTCTCCAGGTGGGCTCTTAGCACCCACCCCTGCTGGTGCAGAGTCCTGGGGGCGCTGGGTCACCTCCCGGGGTTCCCCGTGGCATGAGAGGGAAGCTGCCCCCAGCCGGGGAGCATGATGTTGTAGGTCCTTCCTCACCGTCGCGCTGTGTCTCTGCAGGACTGACAGTGGCCGACCTCGTGTTCCCGTGGTGAGTATCACACCTGCCACCCACCCTTTGTGCTCGTCCTTGAGGCTTGGTTTTCAGCTGATGCTGGACACTCCCGACACCAGCCCTGAGTTCCGGGCCGCAGGCCTGGGCCCCTCCCAGGTCTCTGTGTTAATCAAGTCCTTCCGAAAGCCATGTGACTGAATCCTTGTCGCCCTTGGCGTGGTACTTATCTAAGACGTGCAAATAAAAGTTGAGTGACTTCGGAGGGAACGCTTTGTGAGTGTGCATGTGACAGGCAGGGTCCTGGAATCTTGGAGGAAATCGTACATTCGGAATACATGGCTAAATTCCACTAATCCTGAAAATAAGTGTAAAAATCATGCTTCCTAAACGGTATGCATGTGGTGCATCGGCATCAGGGAATTCTGATAAGTATACAAGGGCGATGTTAGTAATAAGATAAAACTTGGAGTAACAGTGGAGTGACCCAGCTCTGCCTCTGTCTGTCCAGGGCTCGTGCCCCTTGCTGAGGGACCCGACTTCCTGCACAACCAGGAATTTGTGTCTCTGGGCACCTCCTCCATCATTACGAGGTGGAACCAGCCACTGGTTTGCATCTTTGGTCCCTGGTGTTTCATCGCTAATGTGAACTCAGGTTTTTCTGGGCTTGGGAGGAAAAGCCTTAACATTTTTTTTTAATTGAAGTACAGTTGATATACAACATTGTATAAGTTACAGATGAACAATATAGTGACTCACGATATTAGTGACTGTACAGCTTTACTCACAATTTATACTCCATTTATAGTTATTGTAAAATATCAGCTGTGTCCCCTGTGCTGTGCAGGATATCCTGGTGGCTTATTTTATGCGTAACAGCTTGTACCTCACAGCTCCCTACCCCTATGTTGCCCGGTCCCCCTTCCTGGGAAGGAGTTCCTTTTGGAGATGGATCTGGGTGGGAGGAAGGTCTACGTGTCTGCCAACCTGGTGATTGCTGGCGTGTGTTCTCTGCGAGCTTCCCCACGGGCCGGTGGCCCCGTTCCCATTCCTGCTACCAGAGGCCTGTATCTGATTACGTGACCCCAAGAAAGGAAGCGAGGCCACCCCAGAATGCGACCAGCTCTCCCCTCTGTTACCCCCTCACCAAGTCGTCAGACAGATTCTGTTCTGATTTTTTTTTAATAAAAGAGGAAATTTAGGATAGTAAAAAGGAAGGAAAGAAAAGGTGTGTGGCTCAGACAAACTCATAAAGAGAAAAAAAAACTTTCATCTTTCTTTCAAGAGCAATAGTTAATTTAGAAACGATTGAAATTGAAATGCGTCGTTTCTCAAGGACTTGGGGGCGCGAGGGAGGGTGTCAGGTCGAGTCTTCTTTCTTCTCGACGACCACCCGGGAAGGTTGTCCCTGGAAACTCACTTCAGTGCTGAAAGGTTTCCTCCTAAGACAGGACGTGGAGGCACACAAACCTCACAGCCCAGCGTTCTGAGTCTCCCACCTCCGCAAACCCCACGTGGTTTCAACAGCTGGTTCTTTAAAAAAAAAAATCACGTGTTGCGTCTTCTAGGTACCAGGTTATAAAATACTCACGGTAGAGAGGCCACAAAAGTTGGAAACGGCCACCTGCTAACAGCTGTTGTCTTTTTAGGTTTGTTTTTATTATGGGATCTTCGATTTTTCTATCAATGACTTCCATTCTGCAGCGGGGATGCTCAAAGTTCAGATTGCTGGGGAAAATTGCGTGGAGGAGTTTCCTGTTAATCTGTATAGGAATTGTCGTTGTGAACCCCAATTACTGCCTTGGTCCACGTAAGTATTTCTTCTCCTCTGCTAGTTCATATTCAGCTTGAAGCGTGGAAGAGACGTGCTGGAATTGGGGAGAAATGGAGCTCCTCCACCCTGTGTCCCTGCAAACAGAACAGTTCTGTATAGAATGCTTGTATGGCTTTGGGCGTTACCATCTTGGAATTTTAGACCCAGCAGGTGCCCCCAAGCCCACTCAAACCCTCGTGTTGGACAAAGGAAGACTCTGGGGCCAGGGGAGTGAGGTGCTTTGTCCCAGTGTCGCGAGGGGCAGACTAGGGACCAGACCAGGTGACTGGTCCTCAGACCCTTCCTCCTGCCACTGTGGTTTCAGCAACTTTTTACAATAAGGCCATTGTTGAAGAGCCCACCTTGTCATCACCTGGGTGCCCTCAGGCTGCTGGGAAGGAGACACTTGGGGAAGGCAGCCGTCCCTGTCTTCAGGGGGTGAGTGTACTGTGTCATTAGCCAAAGTAGACATAATTGTCATAGAGGTGCCAAATGAACCCCTCAGGGAAGATGCACCAAGACTTCAGGCAAGAGGAGGTGGAATCCTACGGGAAGGTGTCACAGAAAAGGAGATTGGCTGGGTCTCCAAAAAGTGGGCGCTGCTCCCAGGAGGACACATGGCAGGGCTCTTGGTAGGATTGCCCCCCCTTTGCAGGGATGGTCTCTGGGGAGAGCCTGCGGCCTGATGATGATGTCTGGGGGTGAAGTGGGAGGTGTCGGCTGACACCCTCTGTGCCCTGTGTCCCCGCAGTGTCGTGGGAGGAGGCTCGCATCCCTGGCGTGCTCCAGCGGCTGGGGGTGACCTACTTCGTGGTCGCCGTGTTAGAGCTGCTCTTTTTCAAGCCCGTGCCTGAGAGCTGCGCCTCGGTGAGAAACCCTGCTCTGAAAGTGGTGGTGGGGGGTGTCCCTGAATAGCTGTGGGAACTTTCTTTAGTTCTGGGTGCAGCACTAGGAGTGTAGGGCCCTACCTGTTTGCCAAAAGCACGCTTTTTCCTCTTCAATTAGTTATTTTTATTTAGTCTTTGTAACAGTCTTTTTTAAAAAAATTGGGGTGAAAAACGCGTAACAGGAGATCTACCCTCTTAACAAATTGTTCAGTTTCCGTTCATCAAATGCCTTTTGATGGCATGAAATATCACCGTCGTCAGGTTTGCTAGCTCAGCCTCTCGGATGCATTACTGCCAAGTTTTCTGTTTCCTGGTGGTACAAGATACACAAAAATCTCATTGAGCATCTCCATCTATATGAAGGCTGCAAAGGCTGGACTTGGAGAAAACGCGCTGAGCTCAGGACGGGGGATGGCAGTCCAGCCCCAGCCCGGGCTGCGTCCTGTCTTCTTCCTCCTAAGAAGTGCATGAGCACCTCAGCTCTTCTGTGCTGACTTTCTGGCTTACTGTAAATCGCTGAGTTGACTTTACTCAGATGACAGTTATCCCCCCCTACCCCACAAAGGAAACAAAAATTCAGGTGGAAATGTTTAAATTCTTCCGTTTGGGGTCCTGTGTCACAGTCAGTCAGGCTGTGTTTGTGGTCCAGCTTCACCCTGGTGTGTAAGGGAATCCTTACACTCCCTGAATCCCAGATTCTCCCGGGGCTTCTTGCGACGGCTGCTCAGAGGTATTTTCCTGGAGTGTGTTTAACTCCTTCGCCCCCGGCCCTGCCCTCCCTGCCCGTGCACCCGTGCCCTCTGCTGTAGACCCTGGAGCTGGAGTGGGGCTCCACATGCACATGAACTTGAGCTTGGTGCCCGTGGGGGACCTGAGGGTCTGCGGAGGCTTGTCCCAGCCGCCACGACGGAGCCGGGGTGGGGTATACCAGGAAGAGGCGGACCACACCCCTTCTTCCTTCAACCAGAACCGCCCCAAAAGTTTAAATTTCATTTTACCTTTTAAACATTTATTTTTTTAATTTCTTTTTTTTAAATAGCTTTATTGAGATATGATTCGTGTACTATGAAACTCACACACTGAAGTGCACAGTTCGGTGATATTTAGTGAATTCACAGAGTTGTGCAGTCATCATCATTGTCCAGTTCTAGAACATTTTCATCACCCCCCCAAAAAAACCCTATCCTCATTACCAGCCGCTCCCCAGTCCCCACTTCCCCCCAGCCCAGGCAGCCCCTAATCTGTTTCCTGCCTCTGTAGGTCTGCCTGGTCTGGACATTTTGTAAAAATGGAATTATACAGTACATGGCTTTTGTGCCTGGCTTCTTTAGCATAATATTTTTCAAGGTTCGTCCATATTGCCCCATCAATACTTGAGTTTTTTCACTGCTAAATAATATTCCATCTTACAAATGTACCACATTTTGTATCCATTTATCAGCTGCTGGATATTTGACTTGTCTCCACTTTCTGGCTATTATGAATAATGATTCTGTGTTCATTTATGTACCAGTTCTTGGTCAAGTGTCTCTTTTCAAATCTCTGGGGTACAGGAGTAGAATTGTCCACTGATTTCTTTTTTTTTAATTTTTATTTTTTTTTGCGGGGGAGGTAATTAGGTTGACTTTATTTTTAGGAGAGGCTGGGGATTGAACCCAGGACCTTGTGTATGCTAAGCATGTGCTCTACCACTGAGCTATACCTTCCCCCCACTGATTTCTTTTTGTTTGTTTGTTTTTTGTTTGGGGTTTGGGGGGCGGTTGTATATATATATTTTTATTGACGTATAAGCAGTTGACAACATTGTGTCAATTTCTGGTGCACAGCACAATGCTTCAGTCATACATGAACATGCATATATTCATTTTCATATTCTTTTTCACCATAAGTTACTACGAGATATTGATTATAGTTCCCTGTGCTGTACAGTATAAACTTGTTTATTATCTATTTTATGTACCACTGGTTTCTTTTGGACTACCCTTTTACTGTGATATTTCATAGAGAAGGACCAGCTAGACCACGTCCTGCATATGAAACAAATGCGTCTGTTTTTGTGTTACTCCCATAAAGGCCGCGGGAAGAGTCACAGGGACTCTCCCAGATACACGCCCTGCGCATCCCTCCCATTCCCCTTGCGAGCAGCTCACGTGTGTTTTCGATCCCCCCACCCAGGAGAGGAGCTGCCTTTCTCTTCTGGATGTGGTGTCCAGCTGGCCGCAGTGGCTCGTCATCCTGGCGCTGGAAGGCATCTGGCTGGCCTTGACCTTCTTCCTGCCTGTCCCCGGATGCCCCACGTGAGTGAGCCCGGGTGGGAAACCGCTTTTTGACCGTCATTTTCTGCCAAGTCAGAGCCTCTGGGGTCTAGCTCTCCGCGATTTCCCAGCTCAGGAATTCCCTCCTTTGAGGCATCCCTTTTCGGGAGGGGAGCTTGGTGGGTGTCCAGAGGACTGCTGTCCCGGGAGGTTTTCCAGGGTCAGTGTGAGTGGCAGCCCCACCCCGCCATGGCGGGGGCTGTGGAGTCAGGAGTCCCTTCGGTGGGAGAGCGTCGTGGTGGTGCGCGGGGCTGTCAGGCTGTGGGTGTGCGAGGCTCTTCGGTGGCCAGGGTGTCCCCTCCTCCCTCCGAAGTCTCATCATTGAAGTCCGTGTTCTCGCTCCCCCAGCGGTTACCTCGGCCCTGGTGGCATTGGCGATCTGGGCAAGTATCCGAATTGTACTGGAGGGGCTGCCGGCTACATTGACCGCTTGCTCCTGGGAGACCATCACATCTACCAGCATCCTTCCTCTGCTGTGAGTGAGCCTGGCCTGTGCTCGGACCCGACACTCAGGGGCCCCGGAGTGGAGGAGGAGGAAGGGCCAGCCACCTTTGAACTGTGTCCGTTAAGCAGAAGAGGGTGGGAAGGAAGCATTGTTTGCAGAAGTGGCTGACGTTAGAGACCTCAGTGTACTGTTGATTGTGGGCCGCGTTTCCCTGGGTTTAAAGTGAGAAGGCCTCAGTGTCCGTCTCAGGTACCGAGGCAGAGATTCTGGTGCAGGGGGTTTGTCGGGCGGTCCTGGGATCAGCACCTGTGGGGGAGGGAGGGAGCGGACAGGGCGGAGCGAGCAGTCACTCCGAGGCCGTGGCTCATCTCCCCGGGCCCTTTCAGGGTTGTTCTCAGTGGGGTGAGGGACCCGGCCCTTGACATCCCTGGCTGGCTGTGGGCTGCCCCAGCTGCGTGGCTCCCAGAGAGGCGGCTGTCTTCATCATGGATAATCCAGAAGCTGCTGAGAGCTTTTGGCCACCAGTACTGGTGGCAGCTGTGGGAGTGGATGCTCTGGTCCTCCAAGGAGCCAGGGTGGGGTGGGGTTGGGGGAAAGGATGTCTGGGTGGTGCACTTCAGCACCCCTGCAGTGGAGAGCTCCGGACGTCTGCAGTTTCCACAGTAACAATCTCTTTTATAACAAAATAACACGGGTATGCATTTTAAACGTTTTTTGCCCTACAAGAGAAAAGGAAGTAGGGTTGACCACAGAGAATAAGCCTGCAGGTTAGAAGGTGCCGTGTGCGGCGTTTGAACCTGGATGGGGACGGTTGTGTCCTTGAGGCGGCTGTGCTGGGCCGGGGTTCATGTCTGTGTTCCCTCCCTCCCTCCCATCACTCACCACACACTTGCTTGGACGGTGTAACCCCCAGGCTGGCAGTGAGTTTCTACCACAAAAACAAAAACCAGACTGCTGGGGCGTCTCCAAGTCTGGGTTGGGTTGTGCATGTGTGCTTCGCGGTCAGCGGGTGAGCGCGGCCCCCTCGTTCTGCCCTGCCAGGTGCTTTATCACACCGAGGTGGCCTATGACCCCGAAGGCATCCTGGGCACCATCAACTCCATCGTCATGGCCTTTTTGGGAGTTCAGGTATTTGTCTGTTTTATTACAGCACGTCTTCCTTATGGTTTGTGATGATTGATTCATCATTAATGAATCATAAGCCATTTGGTTTATTTACTTTTTTAGGGGGGGTTTATTAGGTTTCTTGATTGATTGGTTTTAATGGAGGGACTGGGGATTGAACCCAGGACCTCGTGCATGCTAAGCGTGCACTTTACCCCTGAGCTCTATCCCCCTCCCGAGTTTGGTTTAAATAAGTAATTGGAAGCATATCTTTTGTGGATTTCGCACCTAGTAAATTTTGTTTCTATTTGACAGAGCATGAAAACTAGAAGTTGCTAAAATCCAGCTCATTCGTATAATTAGGTATAATTGCTGTATTTTCAAAAGAAGGTCTTGTTATTTACGTGGCTCTTCTCAGCGGGGAGGTGCAGCGGCCTCTGGGTGAAAGGTTTCCCTGCAGGAGCCGGGGTGTGTGGGGCGTCACCCGTCGCCTGTCCCCTTTCTTCTGCTTACGCTTTAAGGCGACGCATAGTTTATGCCAAAGTCAATACAGGTTGTTCTTGGTTTATCTCCCACGCAATTGTGTTAAAATTCTGAACAGTCTAGCTTTCCTTTCCTGAAGCTCCCCTTATTTGAGGGGCGATGGCTGGGAGGGGGAAGGATGCCTACTGCTCTCCATGACCATGAAAGTACTCCGTGTGTGCCGTCCGTGTGGCTGCTGAGTCCTGCGAATGTGGCTGGTCTGATGGAGGAACCAGTTTTTAATTTTATTTAACTGTAATTCACTTACATTTAAAGTTAAATCGTTGCAGGTGGCCAGGGGCTCCCCTATGGGGTTAGTGCAGGTCAACGGCATCCATATTGGTGATTACATAATTTCCTATTTAGAAGTGGAGCTCAGTGGTAGAGCACGTGCGTAGCATACGTGAGGTCTTGGGTTCAATCCCCAGTACCTCCATTAAGAGTAAATAAATAAACAACCTAATTATCTTCTCCCCCCTTAAAAAGAAAACCCAAATAAATAGAAGTACTGCCTTTCTTTCTGCAGCACTCTAGAGTTTCGTTGGGTGCTTTTACATAAACGCATTTAATCCCCCACGTGCTTTCCAGGTAAACCTGAGCTTGTGGCGGGGCAGCCAAGGGTGGGGTTCGGGGTACAGAGCTGGTGCCCAGCCCCGCCCTGCTGTTCACTAGCTGGGTTGCCCCAGTCGGGTCCCCTCGCCTCTCTGTGCTTTGGTGGCACCTGCTTACTTCACAAAAGTGTCGAGCAGATTAAATAAGTTAATTCATATGAAGTTCTAAGAACAGGACATTCATAAATTTAAAGTATTTTAACAATTTTTAAAATTTTTTCTTTTTTAAAATTTTAGCCATTATAATTTATATTAATATGTAATTATATATAGTATATAACATGTTAATACATGATATTATATATTACTATAAGTTATTATTAACACTTTCTTTGATGTCTTCAGAAATTAATTCCTCATTTCTGGGGATTTTTATGCAAAGTCCAAATTGTACTGTTTGTAAAATCTTTCCCTGTCTATCGATCCACCCTCTTCTGTGTCCCCACCAGACCAGGCCATCTAGCAGCTTTGTTACTTTGGAAGATAAAAAGTCACTTTCCTTGGCTCCCGTCACCTGTGGGAGAAAGTCTGTGCCTCGCAGGGAGACCTGCAGGCCGACCTGTTACCACCTTCCCACCTCCCCCTGCCCTTCCTGCCCCGGCCTTTCTGAACTACCTACACCTCAGGGAGGCTGTGGGTTTCCACCTGTTTTGACATGCTTTTGCTCATGCTGTTCCATCCTGCCCAAACACTGTTCCTGCTTTGCGCTCACATCGTCAACT